CCCAAGCACACTCTAAGAGTGCACTTTTTGTTGGCTGGTTTTGATATTATTCACTTTAGTTTTGTTGCTAAGTTCAAGTTTTAGGCTTTTTTTTTTTTCCAAAAAAACCTCATCAGAATTGTATTCTTTGAATTAGTCCTTGAATATCTGAAAATATATGATGCTAAGTATAAACTTTCTGGAGTCAGTTTTTTTTCCTCTTTTATTGGTGGCATAACCATTTTGCCTGGAAGCCAAAGGGATTATTTACCTTTTAAGGGTACGAATTTTCTAGGACATGTCTTAGTTTTTCTCAGTCTGTAGCACTTTTTCTTGAGATACAGTCTTTTGAGCTCTAGCTCAAAAAAACTTTTTTGTTCCATTTGATTAGTCTCTTCTCAGGATCATCCGTTTTGTAGCTTCAGACATAAAGCCTTCATTTCTTTAATTGCTTAATTTTCTCCTTTCTATGTCATTTTTACCCTTGAGCCTCTGTATCTGTGCCTTAAACTCTAGTCTTACACAGCTCTTTTTCATTAAAACCCTTGACTAAGAGAAATCTTTGGTGATTAGTTTCATCTGCTCAGCAGCAAACATTTTTCTGTTATGAATTCTTCATTTTTCTGTTATGAATTCTTCATCTGGAGTTTCATCTTGTTTGTTCCTCTGGTTTTCTTGTAGCAATTTTTAGTAGGTCTCAGTCTGATTTATTTGTCCTTATCTTTCAATAAGCAGAGTTTTAAAAATTACTATAGGACAGTTTGAGGAAGGTTTTATAATTAGAAACTTGTTTCAAAGAAAACTGAGACAGTGTTTATAGGAATGACTGATTTTTCCTTCTCTCCTGCAACAGGCTTCTGAATGCCTAATTTCTATGTTTCAGTATAGTTACAAAGATGAGCATTTCCATCTGTAAAACAGGACTAATATGGGTACCTACTGAATATGGTGTTGTAAAGATTAAACGAAGATGTAAAGCTCTGGTACATTGTTAGAATACAATAAATGTTCATTATTTGTCATAGTAAATACTACCTTTCATCATCAAAGACGGGGCATGTTTTCCCTTCCCTTTGTTATTTTCAGTTGGTATCTTAAACCAAGAAATACAACCAGTTTCTCTCAAGGAGCACGCAGCAAGCCCAGGTGGCACTGGGAACGCCACAGGGTAGGAATTGTAAATGGGTACGTAGGTACTTCTGCTGCCTCGGTAGACACACGTGTGGGGCCTGCAGAAAGTTAAGTGCCCTGAGGTTTAGAGCATCTGTGTCCGTGGAGGACCCTGAGCAAATAGCAGAGCCTCCCAGAGCCACAGGACCTGCAAAAGCAAGTCATGGTAAGACCCAAGAACTAGCAAGGTCACCTTTCTTTTTGCTTGTCATGGACGTAAGTTCTCTTGGGAGATAAGAGAGTACCACACACTTTATATGCCCCCTTTAGCCACGTGGCCCCCCACCCTATCAGTCCTTCATTGAGAGCTGACAGTTTTGTGCTCATTCATAACAAAACTGGGGACTCAGAAGATGAGAGAGAGAAAGAAGCTTGCCCAGAGTATTCAGCTAGGAGGTGGCAGAGCCAAGAGGTAAGGTCTTACACTTCTGGACACACTCTCAATCTCTGGTGTAGCTTCACAGCTGTCCCTGGAGCTCTGTGTTTTGCTTTCCTGGGTGATGAGCCAGAAGTTTGGAAGTAGCCATTCTAATCCAATTTCTCTCCTACAGCAAGCGCGGGCGTAGATTAAGTATTTGTCACCTTCCTGCTGGTTAGTGGGTCTATGGATTCAGAANCAAAAAAATCTATAAACCCATCATTTTAACAACTGTTAAGCATGTTGTGGTATATACTTCTTTTTCCTTGTCATAGAAAAAGAAAAAAAAAGTGTGGGTGTGCACACACACACATTGCAGATTGGTTTATGGCCTCCTTTTATCATTTCACAATATGCTGACTATCTTTCTATGTTGTTGAGTAGCATTCTGCTTTGTAATAGCTACATAGCTGCCCAAATTATGCATATAACTTAATTGATGATTTAAGTTATATAGATGTTTAGTTTGGAGCACTGAACTTGTTCCTAACGTTCAGCTATTTTAAACAACATCGTAGCGAACCTCTTTGGTGATCTATAATAGCTTTGTAAATAGTAGTCAGACTGAGTTTTGTTCTCCATAGAAACGCCCAAACACATGTCCCCCTCCCCATCACTGAGCTGGCAGAGACCGCACTCAGAGCCTCTTCACAAACAAGAGAAAACTCACGGCGGTCCTCAGATCTGTACTCTGGTGTACTCTGGAGGCATCTCTCGATGCCTCTGACTCAAAGGCGGGGAGGGGCAGTCGGCACGTAATGGACAACTCAACAGCACAAGTCTTCAGGCACCTGGAGTTTTATAGTTGTTGGGATCCACAGTGTAACCAGGGCATTAGCCAAAAGAAGAACAATCTCCTGAATTTTGGGTTATTCTTTGTTGCTTGTAGCCATAGACACTAGTGGAGAATATTGATCTAGGGGACAGTTCTTTCACTATGTTAAGGGAAAAATAATGTTTGTGTCCTGGAATCTAAGTGTCCAAAGAGGGGTTCTTGGTGGTTGTGTCTGTGGGGAAGGGAGTACGATGATTTTTCCTTTTTTGTTCCTGCTGGGGCTTCCTTGGGAGTTTGCAGACAATTAATTCACAGCTGGTCTAGAGAAACTTCCCGGGATCCCCCAGGAGTAGCTGGCCCTGGGGCCCTCTGAGCAACCTTTCAGCAAAGAGCAGACTGATGTGCAGAGAGAGCTGCTCCCTGCAGCCTCCCATCCCCGGAGACCTTTCTGCAGACAGCTGGGGAGCCTGCGAAAGACCTGCCTTTGGCCAGGAGCGAACTGAGTCCCCGAAGAGGCTTTCAGGTTTGATGTCCTGAAGCAACTGTTGTGAGAGTGATATAAAGGAATGAGGCTGGGTTATCCCACAAGGCCAGAGGAGGGAGAGGCTTGTTTGTCAGTCCAGGAGATCTGAAGGGGAAACCAGGGAACCCTCCGAGTCCCACATGCGTGGGGCCAATCAGAAGGGCTGCTGTGTACCCCCTCCACCCCTTAAATATCAGATGCAGGCACCTCTTTTCTAGAACCTTCCAAATGGGTATGAGGTGGACTTGACCTTTAGATTAGTTCCAACCAGTTTGGCACTTCTTTTTGGTGGTCAGTCAGCAATAACTCCTCTTTCCCATGTATTAAAATATGAATACTCTATAAAACTGATGCACATTACATAAAATATTCTATACGAAAAGTGTGGAGCCATTTAGTGCTGGAGTAAATGGTCTTCCTTAGCCCCTGAGGACATCATCATCATAGAGGTTATTTAGTCGTGACCTTCAATCAAAGAAGAGGCTACCTTATGTCCCTAGAGCCTCTGTTCTTGAAAAAGGAGATGTTCTAAGATGTGCTATAAGATATCAAAATGAACCTATTTAAAAATGCAAAGATTTTAATGTGTGCCGAGGTAAACTTTGCAATAGCTAGAAAATTTCTCTCAACAAATACTTTTATTGACAACTTGCTATGTGCCTGTAGTGGCTGAGGCTCCTAAAGAGAATAAGAGTCTTTGCCTAGAGTCTAATAACAGGCACTTACAGTAACCCTACACACGGGGTTTTATAGCTCAGGGGGAGGTCCTGTCCTTGCTTTACTGGCTATCTGAAAAGTGAAGAGCCTTTGGTAAAGACAGAGGTTTAAAAAGGGTGGGCATACTGTGTATGCTGCGGCTTATGTTCTGCTGACTAAGCAGGGGTTCCTGGTGATGCAACAGAGAAACCCAATGGGAAACCCAAGAGTGGGCAACCGACCCCATCAGAACCCTTAACTGCAGTCTCTGTGTCCCCGCCCCTGGGCACTGTCCACCCCCAAACATGGCACCCTAGCCAAGTGGATGTCCTTGGGGCAGGAGGGTCATGTACAGTGCGAGGCAGAGACAGCTCTGAGAGGGGAGGGACTGACGGTGTACACTCAGGGTTGGGCCGCCTGGGCCTGAATTCCGGCTCCACCATTGTCCGACCCTGAGCAAGTTAACTTAAGCCTGGAGAGCACATAGCATCATTTCATAGGACTGTTACAAGGGCTCAGTGAGATAATTAAAGATAAAGTGCTTAGAAGAGTGCCTTAAGACAAAAGTGAACTTTTATCATAATTTTTTCCAGGAACATAAAAGCCAGCCCTAGAAATCCAGCTTGTGGAGTAACCTGAAATTGCATGGTGCTTTGGAGTCTGAAAGAAAGCCGAGTGTTAGATTTGGCGCATGCCTTCTCGGGCTTTGGCTACAGTCGACTTAATCTCCCAAGTGTTAAGCAAAGTGTTATTACTCGAGTGCCTACAGTTTCCATTGTGGAAACAAATAATTCTTTAAGAAAACTGCCCCCCGCTCCTCCAGGGAAATAAGAAAGAAATTATTGTCTGAGTCAGTTTGGATTCCGGATCATGTACCTCTTGAGGGGACTGCAGCAAAGAAGCTTGGGGACCCAAGGCGGGAACCTGGCTTGTTTTCCCATTAATGTTCAGGCTGCTTGGGTTTAACAGTCCGCTAGGATGTAATCAGTGCTGCTGGACTGTGCCACATAGTTTCGTTTTAATGCCATCCTTTTTACAGTCGTGTCTTTGTTTCGGTTTTTCCAATAATTTTTTTCCCCTTAAATACAAAAGCAGAGTTTGCAGTACTATCAGTTAGTCCCACAACTCACCGTGTTGGTACGCTTCCTTTCAGGCATGCCCTGTTTTAAGTATCTAGTAAATGAAAACCCGTATTTACATCACAGATAAATTAGCATTGGGGATTTGTTCCCATTAGAACGTACTTTCCTCAAATGCTGACTTCTGTTTTTGTGCATTTTAAATGGTTTCACTTAAAAAGCAGCAATGACATATTCTAGTCAAGTGCCGCTGAGACCATACCCCTGGAGGAGACGGTCGTGGGGGTGGGCCCTGGGCCTCTTCCTGGGGCAGGAAAGACCCGGCTCGGTGGCAGCTGACAAGTGCCTTGCCCTCGGCAGGGTTTGACACCAGCATCCTGCCCATCTGCAAGGACTCCCTGGGCTGGATGTTCAACAAGCTGGACATGAACTATGACCTCCTGCTTGACCACTCGGAGATCAACGCCATCTACCTGGATAAGTACGAGCCCTGTATCAAGCCTCTCTTCAACTCCTGCGACTCCTTCAAGGATGGCAAGCTCTCGAACAACGAGTGGTGCTACTGCTTCCAGAAGCCCGGAGGTAAGGGAGCGGGGAGGTGGGGTCCAGGGCGGCCATTGCAGGGCAGGACCACATGCCACATATTGGGAAGGCAGATGGAGATCAGCAGGCAGAAGGACACAGCTAGAAAATAAAGCATTCATCCCATTTAGTGGCAGGCCCAATGGCTCTTTTCTCCTATTTGAGTTCCACTTTTAGCACAGTATATTAGAAAACCCAAGAGCATAATCAAGGAGTGTGTTATTTCAGTATTCCTTCTGGGAAAACCTCTTAACCACATTGTGCCTCAGCCCTGTGATCTGTAAAATGGGGATAGAAACCTTTGCTACATAATCCCCCTTGTCACGTGGGTTCTCCGTGTTCCCCTTTAGGCCAAGCCACTTGTCAGCTTTTCTAGGGTAGCATGGATTTATCCTGAGTGTGTTAGACAAGGATATTTTGGTTATAAATAAACTCTAGCTAACTGAAGAAAGAAAGTGGCAAGATTTGGGGAAAGAATACAGAGCATCTCATGTACCACAGCATGAGGAGAGTCAGCCTGCAGGTGTGCAGATGGGGGACTAGAAGACTCCAGGGTCCAGAGGCAGGAGCTCTGAGTCTCCTTTAGGGGCCTCGGGTCCCACTTTACTTCCCTTTGTCTCAGCTCTTGGGCCAGGGGGCAGAGGGACACCAGTGGTGCACCCCAGCTCACGGGGACAAGCAGAGACCAGTCCAAGTCCCAGAAAGATCAGGTGCCATGTGGGTTAGGCAAGGCTCCAGGATAACATACAACAGGCTGTCAGAACCCACCCCCAGGAAAGGAAGATGGCTACTAACATTAAAGCATCTAAATTGGGTACATAGGTATGCATGTTCAGACAGTACACACACACAGCAGAAAATATAGGCATCACCAAAGGGTAGTCGGTAAAACGTGAGGACGTGTATATGTTTATAGGATTATAAGATACATTCCTAAAAGCAGAATTACTGGTCAAAGCACATATGCATTTTTAAATTTGAGCATCGTTTCCAATTTGCCCTCCAAGGGGTTGTAACAATGTACAGTTATACAAGAATACCTGTTTTTCTATGGTCTCGTCAAACTTTGTGATTGTTTTCAAATCAAGGGAAATTATATGTCCTTATAGGCTTCATTTAGTTTCTCTTATTATGACTTAGGTTGAGCATCTTTGTTTGAAACACTCTTGAGTCCCCTTCCCTTGAAATGTCTAGTTTTTGTACACTTTTTCTATCAGGTTCTTGTGTTTTTTTGTTTGTTTTTAATAGGACTTTTCTCTAAGGACCTTAGAACTGTTCTAGTCATACATATTGTAAATTCCTCTCCCTACCCCCACCCCCGACTTCAACTCTGTATTTTTGCTAGGAAGGAATTTTAAGATAGTCAAGTCTCTCCATCTTTTATTTTATGGCTTCTTAGAAGCCATAAAGCTTACATTAAGCTTAGCAAAGTATATTTCCCACTTTAAGATAGTAAAGCAATTTTCTTGTGTTTTCTCTTAGTACTTTTGGGGGTTATTTTGTGTGTGTTTGTTTATTGACATCTTGTCTCACTTTAGATTCTTTAGATGGTCAAATAGGGTCCCAACCCCTCCCCCCTCCCTGGAGATGGTTGTCCAGTCACTTATTGACTAATCTTAATTAATCCATCTTTCTCCCCCCGATTTGAAATGCTTCCTCTATCCATATGAAACTCCTATATTTATATGTCTATTAATCAAACTATTTATAAATCTGTTCTAAACTGTTTAAATTACAGTTGTTTTACTATATATATAATATATATAGTTATATATATATAGTTATATATATAACTATATATATAACTATATATATATATAACTATATATAGTTATATCTATATATATAGTTTATATATATATATATATATATATATATATATATATATATATATATATATATATAT